GTGCATTTGACTTTTCCTTTCCTGTTCTATCCCTATTATTCACAGATTTGGTCTGTTCACAGTGCTCCAGATTTCCTGGGGTGCTTTGTTCATCTTTTCTTTCACACCTAAGAGTCTCCTCTCCACAACTTGTCCTCTCTTGGTGAGCCTCACCTCTGAAGCTTTTGTTTGACTTCCTCAAATATTCATTTCCAGTCATGCCTCAATTTGGGTTTTCTTTAGTGTTTCTATTTATACTTTCATGTCTTGAAATGTTTTCATCTTTTCATCCCACTGATTATTTGTGTTATCAAAGACTTCATTAAGGGGTTTATCCATATCTTCCTTGAGGTCATTGAACATATTCATAATAACTATTTTGAAGTCCTTGTCTTATGCTTCAGTTATATTGCATTTCTCAGGATGTACTGTAGTAGTGTTGATGGGTATTAGTGGAGACATATTGTCTGTAGTGTTAATGATTGCGTTTTTGCACTAACATTTAGCCATCTGTGTTTAGGATGAGTATGGTTCTGGTGGCTGTAGGTTGCCTAGTAGGTACTTGTGCATCCTTGCTAGGTGTTCCACTAGGGTCTTGGATGTTTTTAGGTACTGGGGCAGGGGCTGACACAAAAAAAGAAAGCTGTATCAGCTGCAAAGTTTTATGGAATGATGGGGGGATGCCATCTGTGTATGTGCAGCTAGTGGCCAGGTAGGAAGGATAGGCAGAGCTACCAGAGGAGGAGATTCTTGGAAGTACAGGCAGATAGGAGTAGTCATGTGAGCCCCGGAAGAGAGAACACAAGTTAGGTGTTCTCCGGTCAGATAATGCCATGTAGAAATACATAGATTAGTAGTTATGGGTTATTAATTAAGACAGAACTAGTCAATAAGAAGCCCAAGCCTTGGGAGGCAGAGGCAGGCTGATCTCTGTGAGTTCGAGGCCGGGCTGGACCGACAGCCTCCAAAACAATACAGAGAAACCCTGTCTTGTAAAACCAAAAAAAAAAAGGCCCAAGCCACTGTCCAACAGCTTTATAATTAATATAGCATGTGTGTGTTCATTTGGAGCTCAAGGGCTGCGGGACCTGCTGGCCCAGAAAACTCGTGCTTACAATGGAGTCCCCAGGGAGTTGAGTCAGAGATGGAGGACAGCCCCCTGAAGGTACTCTGCTACAGGACTGGGTATGAGACTTGGGAGTTTGAATGGAGGACTGGAAGGAAAATGAAGATCACCTACCTAATTCCCACACAGGCATGGCCAATGGGCTTCTAGGTAGAGAGTGTCTCTGTGTACTGGTGGCTGACACAAAGGGATGCGGTGACAGAGGAAGGCTCATGCTTGGCAAAATTAACTGTTCTCAAAATCCACATCTGGCTATATCATAGGCTCTGGGGAAGAACCTAACATGATTATTCTGCTAAATGGACATACTAATAAACAGCACCCAGGCCGGGCGGTGGTGGCGCACACCTTGAATCCCAGCACTCGGGAGGCAGAGGCAGGCGGATCTCTGTGAGTTCGAGGCCGGGCTGGTCCAACAGCCTCCAAAACAATACAGATAAACCCTGTCTCGTAAAAAAATAAAAAATAAAAAAATAAACAGCACCCATATTTCTTTATATGCATAGGCTAATGCATCATTCAAATATCAGTAGAGAAGCTTTGTTTTTCAATAGGCTACAATTAATGCAGAGATTCACAAGTGATCAGCACAAAGGAAATAACACATTGTGTAGTGCTCATCTCTAAATGGAACTGTTATGTCTCACTCCCTCTCCTCAAGGCCCAGGGATCATCATAAAAGAAGGGAGAGGAATGATGGTAAGAGCTAAAGGTAGATTCTGCAGTGAAACAGGGTTAGTCAAACATGACAGTGCTGTTGTACACTTAGACTCGCAGCAGCTGTGACTCTATGCATAAGAAAAAGCCAGCCAAAATTTCAGCACAGATGGGGAGGCTGTCGTGATACCCACTGTTGCTTGTATACACGATACCTGTGTATATAAGCAACTGTTGTTAATTTATGCCTGCTGGGAGAGGGAGAATACATTTTCCTCAGGGATGTAGCCCCCCAAGAGCCAACCCATGTTCCAGTAGATCATCCTACACCGAGGCACACTAAATCGACTCAGTGGATTTTTTTAAAAAATGACATATAAAGTTGGGAATGAATAACAGTGATAAGGGGATAGGAGAGAAATTGGAAGAAATGGAAAGGGCGTGGATTTAAAGGATTCCAGTTATGACTGGCTGCGAGTAGAACTAGTCTGTGATCAGATTTGGGTGAATGTAAACCATCTTGAGGATTCTACTTCTAAATACTCTCATATTTTGAGTATCCAGAGTTTAGAAATCAACATTTCATTGGGAGAGACTATAATTTAACCTGTAACAATATCCATTCTGACTTCTACTATGTGCCCTCACCACATGTAAAATATGGTAATTCTATGGCCAAACCTTTAAAAGTCTACCTTATTTCACCCTTGGCTATACCTGAAAAACATCATTAAGTATTACCTATACATGTAATGTACTTGCAAATGCGAATTTCAATGGGGAAATTGGAAGAAAAGACACACTCATAGCCCACAAATTTCTAGACCTCAGAAGAACCAACTTTGTTATGTTCTAAAGCTTGGATAATCTTTCATTTCTATGCTCTTCCTATTCAGTGTGTACATAGAGATGGTGGCTAACTCCCATGAACTCATAAGAAAGGGGTTACTACTTTCTGCTTATAAATAGAGTTGATTCCATTTTCTAAAGTCAAAGGGATAGTGGTGCTGGACTTGTGTGGACACAGGCAGATGTGTTGTTGTTTGACCACACTGAGAGTCATTCTTTTGTTCTCACAAACTTCACACATACTCATGAATAAATAAATTAGTTTGATTCCTGTCATATAATCACAGAAATGGGGCAGCCCTATCTCATTTCAGGCAACAGATATGAAATGGAGTTCAGGATTACTGTCTGCACTTTCCCATGTACAAACAGTTAAATCAAGTCTAGAGACAGAGACAGATTTTACTGAAGATGGTTCCTGTGGCTGAGCTGGAACTGGAAAGTCATCTTTACTCTTCCATGTTTTCTTCTGTTCCTAAAAAATTTTGTCTTCTCAGGAAGCACTTTAGACACTGGAAAGTAGGTCATTTAGGCAGGAAAGTTGCCATTTGGAAGACATCCTTCCCAGCTATTACATTCAGTTCTTTGTTCTGTCTGTCCACAGTGAATGCTCAACACTCTCTGTCTTGCTGGAGCTGTAGAGCCTTAACATATGGGAGACATCTGCTTCTGAAAGAAAGCTGGAAGAGAAGAAAATACTCTTGAAACAAGAGTGAGGCAGTGCAGGCCAATGGACATGAGGGAGCCAGTATAACAGGGAACTCTCTATGGCCTGCCAAAGTACAATTAACCTGACATTTCTCAGTAGGCAATTTCTGAAATCCCACTAGTAAGTCACAAGGGGGTGTTGGAGTTGTGCTAAGTATGTGCACAGGGTGACTAGAGAGTACATCACTAATTTTTAATGCTACATTTTAGACAGAGATCTAGACATATAGTTGTAACTGCTATTATCCATGATTGGAATTGTCACTTAGAGGTATGCCCTCTAAGTCCCTAAGCTTCAAGGGATCAATGGTTTTAAATAGGCAAGAGCAAAGGATATGTCAGCAGGAAGCTCAGGGGGCTAGAGCACTTGCTCTTAAAACCCAATCACCTGACTTCAATCCCTGAACCCCACAGAAGAAGAAAAAAAATCAGTTCCCAAAAGTTATCTTCTGAACTCCATAAGCCTACCTGGCAGGCATGAACATCCACTCATACATACACATATATGCATAATCATAACACATAAACATATTAAAAAGCAATTGATGCCAAAATAACGTCTTTATTGGGAAACACTTGTTTTATATTATCTTTAATGCTACAAAATGTTGTCCTTTCACTTTGGGACTGTCATTACAAGGAATGCCATCCAAGTTCCAAAATTAGTAGGAACCTGGAGATTTCAATTCTTGAAAGCAGATGATGTCAGGAAAAAAATCTCTTTACTAGAGAGAATTGATGTGATGATGCTCCAAGTTTAGAAGTCCCAGGACCAAAAGTGTCAGTGGGTCATGGCATCCGTGCAAGAGCACCAGGACCACAGGGGAATCTGCACCATGAAGACATCACAAGCCACACAGGTCAGGTGACTCCTATGGAGAGAGGACATAGATGGGGATGCACATTAGTGAAGATCAGCAGTCAGGAAGCCAGGGTGACCAGATCTCTTGTCTGTTTGGACCCAGTTGTGACCATTTGGGGTATTAGCCACTACTGGTCACTGGGACCACAGATTCTGTTGCTTTCCTTCTCTTCAAATGAGGTGCCCCTTTGAAGATGCAAAAATAGTTGCATCGTTTTCCTCCCAAAGCTGCAGATTTCTGTCCTGATAGAGCAAACATTCCCTGGAACTGATTCCTTACCACCCTAGTGCCCCCCATTTCACAGTTCCTGCATCATAAACAAGGATGGTCCTTGGGACTCTTTTACCTCCCACATTCACAAAGATGGGAAAAAAGCAGGTGGATTTGTGATCTCTAAAGGATAAGGGAACCCTAAATAGGATTGAAGACCATTAACTGGTATAAGAAACAAAACCAAATTGACTCTTATGAATCCAAAGCACAAAAAGTTACAAAAATGCATCTTAAATTTACATGATTTTAGAAGTGGTACATGTTCAAAGCATTAATGGCTGCACATGTGCAAAATAAATGAATGAAAAAGAGGCATTAAGGAGAGGAATTTGAGATGAACTGACAGCCCAAGGAGATTGCTCTGCCTCTACCAGCAGCTTGCTTCACCAGGAAATGGAACTCAACTCCATAAACTTTGCAGTTCAGCACATGTATTGCTGTAGGCTTCACTGTCAATCCCGTTAGCCCAGGAAGTCCGTCGGGTACCACATATAAACACGGGGATAGATGTCTCTCCTATTTGGTAAGACACTTACCTTGTCCTGGTCCTTGACTGATTATTGAATGTGTTATTCTGTGAAGACATCTTGATATAGGATTAACCCTCCTTTTGGACAGTAGCACATCCCTTGAGCTTGGTGGAAAGATTTTGTGTGATGAATTCCACCCTGTAACTGCTCTTGAACCTGCACAATATAGGATTGGGAGTGCTGTCTAAAATGTGGAAAGACCTCTGCTGCTTTCCTGGCCCAGCCAAGCTTTCTTTTGAGCCCCTGAACCTTTTTATGCTGCTGATGCTCTTGGACCAGGTCTTCATCCAGGGTGTATTCTTTGCCCTTGATTTGCTGAGCAGAGTCTTCTCGGAGAGTTAGTGGTGCCTGGTAGGATTTCAGGGGGGTGCTGTGGGGTTTCAGCTTGATTTGTGCTTTCACCTGGCCTAGGGTCTTTAGCTTGCCTATTTGGGATTTCAGTTGGGTTTCATGGGATTTTAGCTGGGCTTGGGATTTGATTTGTGACTGGGATTGAAGTTGGGATTTTTGTTGGCTAATCTCGTCTTCTTCTTCATCACAAACTGTGTCTTCGTTTAAATCTCTCAGCTCCTGTGAGCTCTGAGTCTTCCCTACTTCAGTATCAGCATCTTGGCCATACACATGCTGCTCAGTTTGCATAAAAATGCTTTCTTCAGATACGTCTTCCTGTGCTTCACTGGACCCATAGTGGAAATGGCCTTTTTGGATAAATACAACTGGGGGCGTTTTTACTAGAAAGTGTCCTTTTGTCCCACCTGGTAATTGATAACAAGAATGTCTGAGTTATACTCTCTGTACAGTGCCCTTTCTAGTCTTATCCTAGAATTTCCCCCATCAACCCACCAAGGTACCCACAAGGCATGTGGGTTTGGGTGGAGAAGAGTCAAAGTCCATCAAGATCACCCTGTGGAGGGCTCTCACTGCCAGAACACCCTTATGGACATTCTCCCTGAGTGCCTTCCTGCCAGGCGACTCCCTGCACTCACCATAGATCCCTATTCCAGCTGCTTGCTCCTCCAGGAGGAGCAGAGAAAGGCTGAAGAGGATGGACTTCATCTCACCAGGAGGGGCCTTCACTGAGAGCTCAGCGACCTCTGCTTTATAAGTTCTCTGCTGGGTGCAGAGATGTGGCTGGAGTCACAAAAGCCCTCACCCGTCCCTACTTATCTGGCCTGTTGACTTCTGCCTTCTTCTCAGTAGGAGATATTGTCAATATTCCTAGAGACTATAGACACAAGGTGTCAGCATCTTTGTCTTACCCCCACATGTCCCAGAAAATCTTTATCATCACTTCAAGATCATCACATGATGTTTCCAGAAGAAATTCAAGGCAGAGATCACAGAGTAACCAGAGCCTGTCCGAGATTCAGTAGTTCAAGTGTGGGGCCTTGTCCACAATGCCCTTAGTTACATGCTGTATCACAAATATGATGTGCACTTGTTTCTTTCCAAGTGAGATGGACATTCGTGATTCCTCTCAAAGGGCCTATTCCTAAAGGTTAAAAAAAAGACATGGGAAAGCAGGCAAATTCAAGGATTCCAAAGAAAACTTCAGTAATAACTGAGATACAGCTGCAGGAAAGTAACCCTAAAATGCCTAACCTTACTCCTGAGCTGTGTGAAAATCCCCCAGGGTTTCCTTTCATTAGTGGCTTTGATGAGAGCCTGTGAGTGCAGTATGACAGGCCATCATCTGCAGGATGGAGAGCAGCAGAGACAAGGTCAAGGGTGCACTGTGGTCCATGTAGTCAGTGGGGTGAGCACTGGGGCTGCATCAAGAGGAAGGGAGCTGCAGAGGGCTCCTCAGGTATGGGAGACATTGGCTGTGTTCAACTGCAGACAGGAATGATGATTGAAACAAGGAGAAAGGACCCTGGTCTCCTTATTTCATTATTTTCATGAAATCATCTAAAACCACAGAACCCACTCAATGCGGGGAGTCTTTTACATATGAGGACACTTCAGGTGGTCACTGGTCATGTCTATCAGCACTAGTGGATGTGTTGATTTAAGAATGCCATGAGTGTATTGAGACTGTGTACCTCCTGTGAAAGTGCAGTTCCCTGCAGCTGTGGGAAGACCCTGAGTGGTTCATATGGTTGGCCTTTAGTTTCCAAGGCAGACAGTGGTGTGGAGACAGCACACAATTAACCATCTCTGCAGAGAGCCCCATGTCCTCATGCCAGCTGGGTGGGGGATCTAAGAGAGGGTGCATGAAAAAGCATTTTCAGCCTTTATATCCGTAAATGCTAGTTTACCTAGAAGAACTCTTCGTGGAAGGGGTTAAAGTGAAGTCCACTTGTGTTTTCATGGGAAGAAGGAGATAAGGCACTCAGTCACCAAACAGAACACAAGGGTTCTGGCTTATCCTAGGAGCTCTGAGCTCCTCCTAATCTGATCTCTTTGTCCCAAGCCTGAAGATAACTGACTCCTCAGTAGAGATGCTAGCCAAAAGATTTGAAATTACCAAGAAGGCAAATGACTTCCTTTTCTTGCTTACTTCTTCACTGTTCTATGCCCTTCCCTTGAGACAATGGCAGGAGGAACTAACTCTTCCATGGCGATCTGACTTGTAGAAGAATGAGTTGGAAGATGGATCTTTTTACCAGGTCAATAACCAATGTCTATGTTTAATCCTCTACAAAATATGAACCTCTTCCACCTTTAGAGTCAGTGGAGACTTCATTCCTCTGTTTACTTTCTCACTTTCTGACATTGCCACCGCAGGGTGCAGATATTTGCTCTTTCTGGATGTAAGTCTTCTAGTGTTACTGGGAATCTGCCAGATCCCCAGGCTGAAAACTCACTGGGACTCGCAATGGATCTAGTACCCAAAGAAGGCAAGGTTACAATGTGAAGGCATCTCTGATGTTTAGAGCTGACCTTGAAGTAGCTAAGCCCTCAACTTGCATAGAATAACAGTTGAAAGAGAAGAAATGACCATGGAGTCCAGAAATGCCCTACCTACATATTCTTGGAGCCAGCAGGACATTTATTCCTGCTGGTCAACGCAGCACTAGTCTCCAGAGACAAGACCTCTAATAGGCTATCCAGTCCCAAACAACCAGCGCTAAACATCTATAATATGGCCAACACTGAATGGATTCAGCAAATTCTATTTATATATGCACACGCATATAGACATAGAATGATGATAATTAAAGAAGATGTGATTTTGAGAAAGAATAAGGGAGACAGAGGAGTTGGGGGAATGGTAGAAATGACATAAATATACTAATATATGAAACTCAGAAATGTTTAAATACTTAAAATGAAGGCACAAATTTGGGACACTATGGAATGGATGGTGGATCTGGGAGGAGTTGATGGAGGGGGGGTGGATAGGATAAAAATACAATGTATGAAATTCTCAAAGAATTTGGTTTGCCCCTGAGTTTATTAATAATTTTGGGGAAACTCATTACCATTATTCTGTCCCACCAATTAAAAACTGAGGATACTGGAGGGACTGATAAGAGGACTCCTTCCTTCTCTTTAATAATAGAGGCTGACAGATGTGATAGAAGCCACGAAAACCGTTGTCAGAAAACAAAGTTATGATAACTAAGCCATGAGAAAGAAGGGGGCTGAAAAGCCCAGTGAGATGGGTTGCTTTCAGATCAAAAGGAGAAAACTTTGGCTACATGGCATCTTCCTCAGGTTACTTAGCCTTTCCTTTGGTGCTTTCCTTTGTCTTGTTCTGTCATTTTAAAATGCTTACCTCCATGCTATCAACCATTTTTCCAAGCTCAGATAAAATGAATTTATCAAGTATGACCTTTCTCAGAAGTTAGCTATATAACATATCTCTAAGCGGCCTGCCATCACAGGGCATTTTCTGAATCAGATAACCCATAATCCTCCTCTTTGGAGCTCAGTTATCATGTCCTAGATGTGAGATTATTTCTGATATTGTTTGTTCTGCATTAAAAGTGAGGCCGTGTGATCAGGAAAAATGTCAAGACTAATGAACACTGGCCTTATTTCTTAACAAGGGCACCTGATTACCACCCCCACCCCCACCCCCCCCACCCTCCACCTTCCCACCCCCAACACCAAAGGGTAACACTCATCACTGGGTGGAAGGGTCTTCCTGTCTCATTTGGCACGTGGAACATGATGTACTCTAGTTGGTGATTGGTTGTTCTATTCTTTGTCTGTTTTTCTGAAAGATGACTATGGAACCTCAGACAGAGGATCCTAGTGAATTTTGTCTAGTGAATCCAGGTATGAAAGAAAGATATGAGATTGGTGAGACTTTGGGGCTATAGGTGAATATACTAAAAATAAATTATATAATCGTATGAAAATGACATTGTGTAACCGAGTACTGTATACAATGAGTATATGCCAATGGGATTTTTTTAAAAAAGATATGAAGGTGGGGAATATTTTTCCTCCTAGTACTGAGTTCTTGATGTCTGTTGTACATGCCAAATCCCTGTGAGTAACAAATGGAACTTTTTAATGATTTTCATCATGCCTACCAGATCCCAATTGCAGTTTTCTTCCAGCTTCTGATTTCTCTCTGAAGTTACTCACATACTCATATGCATCCCTGAAAAGGATTGGGAAATTCAACCAGAAGGACTAGAAAGCTACACTTACTCTGGCCTTTTATTTTATAGATACTATTACTGAGGGAGAGAGAGAAAGAGAGGGGGAGGGAGGGAGAGAAGGAGGGCGAGAGAGAGAGAGAGGAGAGAGAGAGAGAGAGAGAGAGAGAGAGAGAGAGAGAGAGAGAGAGAGAGAGAGAGAGAGAGAGAGAGAGAGAGAGAGATTAGGTCAAGATGATGTCATAATATTGAGTTTTTCATTAACTGTAGAATGGAATCAGAGAATAGAGGGGACCTGGATGCGATAAGAAGATGGAAAACTGAGAGAAGGTGAAAATATTCTATTCCTTGCTTAGGTACATAGTGTCCTGGAAGAACAGGGGCAAGCCTAGAAGGGGGCCTAAATCCAATGGATTCTTGGACCATAGGTATTTTTGCTTGGGCCCTTACCATGCTCTGCAGATCACATTTCTTTAATTAATAGTTTCCACTGAAAAGTGTACTGATTGGAAAACAACCGCAGGTTCCAATTATTAGAAGACATGTGATCAGTCATGACTTGGCATCTGTCTTAGACAGGGTTTTTATTTCTATGACAAGACACTAAAACCAGAAACAACTTTGTGAGGGAATGGTTTATTTAACTTAGTCTTCCAGGCACCAGTCTATCACTGAGAGAGGAAAGTCAGGGAGGAACTCCAATAGGGCAGGAACCTGGAGGTATGAACTGGTGCAGAGGCTATGAAAGGGTGCTGCTTCCTGGTCTGCTCCTCACGAGCTGCTCATCCTGCTTTATTACAGTCCTCAGGACCATGAGTCCCAAGGTGATGCCACCCACAGTGAGCTGGACCCTTCCACATCAATTACCATTCAAGTAAATGCACCACAGGGTTGCCCACAAGCAAATCTGATGGGGTCATTTTCTCAATTGAGGTTCTCTCTTCCAAAATGACTCTAGCTTGTGTCAAGTTGACATCAAAGTAGCCAGCACAGCATCATATAAATAATTTTAGATTCAAGCTGACAGAGTTATGTATCATCATTTAGTGGTGGATTCTGTCCTAGACAAGAAATTTGAGAATCTGAGTCACTTTTGTTCATGCTTCTTCTACCAAGTAAAAGTGAGAAAATCATTTCCCCTTTGATGGACCTGTACAATTAGTACAAAACAAAAGGGAAATGGTGCTCAGAGAATTAGTATTGTCCCTTTTTCACTTCAGGATCATTGTGTGAGCCAAATGCTATTATCCCCAGAGATATTTTATAAAAAATTTGTTGAGATTTTGATGGGTATTACATTGAACCTGTAGATTGCTTTTTGGCAAGATGGTCATTTTCTTTATATTAATCCTACCAATCCATGAGTACAAGAGGCCTTTACATCTTCTCATATCTTCTCTAATTTGTTTTATCAGTGTTTCATGGCTTTTATTGTACAAGTCTTTCACTTCCTTGGTTAGTTTATCTCACCATATTTTTAAAAAAGATTTATTTATTTAT